AGGGTTTTATTTGTAATTGTCAGAATGTCTGACAATGTTTTGTGTTATGTGTAAATAAAGGTGTAATTCTGATATAATATTTCTTGATGGTTGTTAGGTCACTAAATATATTACTTTGGAAAGGGTGTGTAAACTTTCTATTGGGACTGTATGTACACGAGACACCTCAGTAACAGTAACATAAAGAAAATTATGTGATTGCAGATGTACTGTATACAGTATGTTCTGCAGTTACTGTCAAAGAGTTCACAAATAATGGGATGGAAAAATAAGTGAAAAATGTTAATCCCCTCCACAGTAATGTAACAGTGAGCTCACAAATGCTTAAACCCTCAATACAAATGCAGCGTAAGAAACATGAGCTAACATGGACTAGCTGAGAGAACCCAAGATGTAAAACACATGTCCACAAGCTTAAAATAAATGCACTTCAGCCAGGAAGTCGCACCACATGTTGTCATTTACCTGTATCGCACAGAAATGACAACCCATAGAACAAAATGGCACCCCTCCCCTCTCTAGAAAAGAAGGACAATTCTCTGTTTTACTAAATCGGGAATAATAAAGGAATCCATACGCACCCTGTAATGTCAGGATTGTCTACAAAAGGAAGTGCATCCAAAGAAGCAAATGATCCAGCTCGCGTGTCTAACAGTGAAGCGAATGGCATAGACTTCAAGCCAGGCATTGCTTCTCTGCAGCTCAGAGGCAACTTTTTTCATTTGTATACCGTGTGGCATGGACTGGACTTGTATCTATGGATAAACCTTAGCTTGGCTTGGTGAAGCACAGTGGGTCTACACTCCACGGGTGAGGGGGTTTCTGCACTGTACTGCCAGAGCATAGTAATCTGAAAAGAACAGGAGTGAACCGCAGTGGTGCTAATTTTATGGCTGCCTGAAGGATGGATTGCCAGTCACTATAGTGAAGAAGTTTGAAGGCATGATACCTGTCCTTCTTTGTATCAGGACTGACATATTATTATTATCATATTATATTATCTTGTAATTATAATTCTCCTTTTGAGGTGGCCAGCAAGGGTGACCATTTTGGTCCAATTCTTTGTACCAAGAACTCTCCTGTGGCACCTTCCGGCAGGGCTAGAATACAGATGTTAGTGGCCGATCTCCATCTCCATCATGATGAGTTGGAAATGTTACAAGAAAGTGTTTTGCATACATCTGTGGTCTCTGAGATTCTTTACCTTGGCTTTGGAGGAGTGGGTGACTCTCCATTGCTAAAGAATTGAGCTTCATGAGGATTTCAAAATATTAGGTAGCTGTGAAGACTGCCCTAAAGTGAAATTTAAACTTAATTTTGGAAATAAAGTGTGCTGAGTGCAAAATTGTCCCGGCTGTATGAGCAACCATCTCTGGTGCTACTAGAAGTGTTCAGATATTCTTTCTCATCTCAAACCTTTTGTGTATGTAGTACTGTTACTATACTGTATACATAAGATGTTGTGTGGGACCTTAACTTCTTATGTATATCCTGGATTTGTAAACTTTAACTTTCTTTTTTATTTTTTAGTTGCTGAATACAAGCCTTATCAGGTCATACTTGAGTTTTCTGCAGATAAGAAGACAGAGTATTGTGTCATGACATTTTTTCTTGAAATAAGAAAATTAGACAGGATTAAGAATCTATGAGAAACCCAGCCTCTTTCCCCTTGGGAGTTTTTTTTTCTCCTTTCTCAGTAGAATATGAGAAAGAGGACTGTGAACTGAACAAAGCCACTATGTGCTGCACACGTCCACAGTTTTGTTTGGCTGGGAAGCCTGCCATGAGATAGAATTCAATCTAATTCTCCTTTGGGGCTTCCTCGGGGTTTTATTAAGTACCACTATGGCCAGAGAGGCTAAAGTGAGATAGTCCAGCTCTCCAGTCTGGTAGGCAGGCTGGTCACATCTGCTGGCAAATCAGGAAAATTTACCAATTCATATATTATCCAGCCATATTCAATGGCCATACAAGTTGTGTTTGTTATTGATGTAGGCTTTACTTTTCCCGTGCTTGAGGAACAATACGAATGTGACAGGCCTTCGAATTACCTCTGAATAGGTGCCAAGAAATTGGTTGGCTATTAAGTGGAAACCTTTTGTTAACACAGCATGTACTGTGATCAGCATCTGTTTGGTAAAAGCTGGAGTTTTGTTAGCTTCATACTCTGGCTTTTGCTTGAACAGTGAAGAATTTTGATCTCCACAGTTTGCTCCACTGAAAACCACAAAGAGGGGGGAATTCTGGAAATTTTTAGTGAGGTCTACACCTTGCTACCTATCCAAGATTGTAGAATTTGAGGACATTTGTAAGGTTAGCCAGTGTTTGGCAGTCTCCAGTATATGTTTGTGAGGGTGCTGTCCCCAACAGTAGTTGAGGGGGACAGTCTCTCAGGACAAATTAGCCCCTGCTTCAAAGGGAGGCAGAAGATCACAAATTTATATTGTGTCAACAATATCAACAAATCAGCACCAGTCAACATCATTCCTACTGTCAGGCATAGTGGTGGCAGCATTGTTATGGGGCAGCTTCTCTACATCACTTCAGGTCAAGAGTAGTTCAGATCGCATTGTATTCTATAAAAAAAGAAAACTTCTGAAATGCATTGTCTGTATCTGAAGATCATGGAAAATGTCATGGAAAATAAATAGTTAAATGTTGTAAATCCTTGTGGAGTCGGTAGTTGTAAACCACCAAATGTGAAAGTTGAATCATTTAGAAAAACATGTTCTTTTAGGTCTCCCAGGGATTTTTTTGCAGACTCTTATCTCTGTTGTTTGACAGTTAAAGAGAGTTGAAAATTGGACAGTATTTTTGTATTGTATCTGTATTTTTACCGCTGAGCCATCTGGCCGAATAATAATGATTCTAGCATTTGCAGGCTAGAAAATCCAAAAATACAATGTCTAATCTGGTGTTGTGCCTTGTGGATGGTGGGTCATTAGGCTGAGTAACCATACAACTCCCAAGCATCCTTCTTGACTGTTATCGGAGTTTGTGCTTTTGACACTGAAAGAGTAATGTTCTGTCCCACATCACTGCAGTGCTTTTTGTTGCAATTCTTTTTGGTATATAAAGGTACAGTAATGACAAGACACCAGTTGCTGTTAACTGAAGAACCAAAACTGATAATCTAGCCCTAAATAACAGATAACCGAAAGAGTTACCCTGAATTGTAGGCTCGAAAAAAAGAGGCCTAAAATCTTCCTAAACTCAGACTCCAGTATCTGAGTGAAGCGGAAGTCTGGGCAAAGCCCTGAGCCAGGAATGTCCGTTCTTAAGCTCAATGAAATTCGTTATCGGAAAGGAAACGAAACCCCCCTCTTCGGTAAAAAACAGAAATAGTTTCTAACTCAAACAAACAGAACAGTTACCATGCCAATGGGCATCTATAAATAGTTCTACTGTTTGTTTTCAGAAGCGCCCTCCCTTGAGAAAGTTCGGCGAACAATGCTGAAGTGCCGGGCAAGCTGACTACACTTTTCATTTGCAATAAATATGTTTTCTTTTATGCTGCTTACGAAAGAGAAGATTTCTTCTCGAGGGAATAATATAAATACCGCATCTTGTGCGCAGAGTAGTGCATCGGGGACTCTGAATCATGTATCATCTGTGTAGAAGAATGACTGATTTTGAAGTGTCATAAATCCGATCGCTATCCATCTCGTCATTTAAAAAGTGACTGAATAGCTCATAAATATGTACAGGATTTTTATTTGCCTCCCCCCTAAAGATGCAATTTTACATATGTGGTATTGACAAGGGTTTACAGAAGCTAGAAGAATAAATATGAACCAGCACCTGCTGCAGCAGGGCCATTTGTGATGGAGGATCACCGAAGAATCACAAGCAGGTTACGGAGTCAGGAGAACTGTACCAGGGGAGGCAGTGGGGAGTCAGTGGCAGAGTCAGGGTAAGAGCTGCTGTCCTTCTCGTAACAAGCCACAGTGCCATCAGATGAAAGGTTCTATGCCATTCTGCAAGAGCGGAGGGAGCGTGGTTTTAAATACACGAACTATTGCGTCCTGACTCTGGTGAAGCAGCAGTGTTTTACAGGGGACATGGTTTCTCAAAAAAGCCCCCTTTTGTCTCTCAGGGAATGGTGAAAGCACCTGGCCGAGTCACGACCTGGATAATACGAGCTAGAACTGCAGGCAACCGCCTCAGGTTTCCACTGAAGAGACTAAGGGAAGACTCCGACTGCAAAACAGACTGGAACCCTTTCCTCAACTGAAGAGCTTTTCGGCAGCCTTTTCTTGTTTGTGCTTAAGGTAAGGCTTGAAGCAGAGGTAATCCTTCTCTAGCATAAATACATGCATTCCTATAGTTCCACTCCTGGCAGTTATCCCAGGGTGTTTTTTTATTTAGAGTTGCCGTTTGTGTTTGATTTATCCACCTGATTTGAATAGCTGATTGTGTGTTTTTCACTTCTCTTGAAGCCACAGGGGTTGATGCATCTCTTGGAACCCATAGAGGCCTGGCAGACTAATCCCCTCCTGCCTTCAGTGGTGCTCAGCCAGTTGGTTACATGTTGGTGACATGACCCACAAAAAGTTTTTTTTTTTTTTAGCATTAATGAGAAAATATTCCCCCTTTTCTGAGAAAACGTTCTCCCCAACTTGAAGTTACAACATTTGAATTACTGAGAAAGCAGCTCTCAGTGATTACACATTATTGTCGATACATTGTGGGTAGATTTGGTTTTAGTAAATCAGGAATAAGAGTTAAATGTAGTTTTGTATTTTCTGTTCATTATAGATTTTTACTGTATTTGCTGCTTATTGTAGTATTGTTCAGAGTTTTGGTGCTATGGTTATGCGGGCTGCTTATTTTAGTAAAGATGTTGTGTGTTTGAGTGGCATTCGCAGTTTCTCTTTATGAAGGTGCGTTTAAAGATGTCATTGTTTTGCATTCCTTCCTCAGCTGTTGACAGAATTACTTGTAAGTCTTATAAAAAGAACTGAAGGAGAAAATACATATAGAGAATCTGAACTTCAAAGCAGTCTTCTTAGACTTCAGTGGTTGTGTTTTCATATCAAGCTAAATTGTTTGCTATAATCTGAGGTATTTTTGCAGAAATGTGTTGCTGAGGGGAGAAATCCTTTTTGTTTTTCCCAGTGATACACCAGCTTTATTGGAGGAGAACAGTTTTTTTCTTAGTAACAAGATGTGCAGCTTTGAGTCAGAGTAAAATGTAACAGTAATACTGGTGGAATTCTTTTGATTTGGTTTTGCTAGTTATTTGATTATTTGGTCGCAAGACAGAAAAAAAAGATCACAGATTAACATTTTGATCTCATTTTCTACACGTTGGCTGACTACAGCTCTGGCTTGAAGGATCGTTGTTTTCTAGGGGTTCTGTAATACTTGATTAAGCAAGCTAACCCATTCTCTTTTACGCATCTTTTTGTGTACGAAACAGATGACTTTGTTTTATGCACATCATTCAAAAGCACCAGATTGTGAATGCTTTATTCTGAAAAGTAGAATTCCTAAATCTGTTTCATAGTGACAAAGACGTTTTATACCAGCGTATGCGAAGTACAGTATGTAAATGGCTCTTGGGGTTTTCAAAACCTAATTAAAATATTTTTTCCATGTTTAATTTTTCCTTAGCATTTAGTGGTTTTGCAGGGCAAGAAATATCCATTCACAAATCCCCTTTTTATATGCTATTTTTTTTGCTTGTTGTAAAGAAGAAATGTCCCAGACAGACACTGTCAAAGTGTTTAAAATTGTGGATGACGGACTTTTGATTTAAGCTGAAATACAGTACGTTTTCCAGAAGAGTGGTTGTTATCCCTGACATCAGTGGTTTTTAACTTGCAGGCCTAGGATCGCTTGCGGTCTCTGTGTGAATTCCATGAAGTTGTAAGCTCAACAGACTCCACATGCAATATTCCTTTGCTCCTCTTGCAGTAACAGTCCGTATACCTAACACATCCCGTGTCTTTCTTTTATTTTATTGACTCGCCTTGTCCTATGGCAGGCTATTGTGGGTAAAGTGGTGCTGGGAAGTTGGTGCCACATGACCAAAGAATGACTTCTCTCAGAGGACAGTGAGACTCAGCAAAGTAAAAGCATCTACTGTTGTGAGAGACGTTGTATTCGTCTGAAGGTCTTTGTTAATATAAAGTTGTTTTTTAACGAGCGCATAGATCGAGGTATTTTAGTAGTTTGTTTCCCCAAGAGAAGAGTTTCCAAAAATCTAGAAGTGGAACTTTTGTTGAAGTGTACATAGCCCTCTAAAAAAGTTTATTCTGTCTGGCCTAATATACAGTATAGCCAGTTTACTGGTGACTCGAGACCATCATCTTTGCCAAGTCTGCTTAGTCCTACTAAGCCTTTAGAGTGTCTGCAGCCATAAGGAGTAAAATGGATAGGTCTTTTTTTTGAAGCACTGACGAGTGCACCTGCTGGAACAATCCAGCTGAAGAGACAAGAAGGTCTTTTGTGTTCATTTCTGCAGTTTAGAGATCTGTTTTTGTTTTTCCAAGTCTAATGTGAATCCCCAAAAATATTGGGTTCGTAAAAACCCGAATTCCGCTGTATTTATCTGTTGGCTAGTTTTGGTGTTCATGTAAATTTGAAATCCTTGTTCTTCTACTGATAAGCTATGGAGGAAGGTCCCCTGCTACCGTGACAATCAACTGAATTTACTGTCATTTTGCCGGTTGCGTGTTTTTTCCTTCCGACGAGGGCTGAAGCCGTTATACAGTAATGTCAGATCTATTTGAAAAGGCGCACCACATCTGGTTCCCCTTATCACCTTTCTTTATCTGCTGCTGACTCATACAGTGTGGTCTGAGAAGCCTCCACTGTGCTGTCACGCTACGCCTGCTTACTGCTCTGAGTTTTTGCTCTGCGAGCAGTTGCTGGCGAACCTTGCCCTGTACACCAGTCAGAAACTGAAAGTGGTGTGTGGCTCAGTCTCCAGCCCCGTGTCCTTACTGACCTCCCCCCTCTCCTCCTCGCGGCATAGCGCAGACTTCAAAAGGAATGGACAGGCCGAGTGTGGAGCTGTGCGGCTGGGGCTCATCGTGGTTAGTGATTCCTCTGGTTTTCGTGAGCATTTGTGCTCGCCGGCCTGTTCGTTTTCTGTTTGTTTCTTTCTCTGTCGATCCCGAGATCTGCTTAACAGTCGCAACTATGAGCGTCCTGAAATTGATGCTGGTGACCTGTCTAAACTTTGCCTTAGCAGAGAAGGACGTTCTGATGAATTGGATAAACAGCCCGGGTTTTAAGGTATTAGCGGTTCACTGCATAGGATTTGCAGACGGGAGCTCTTGCGGGGGAAACGGTCCTGAGAGACCAGACCTGAGCATGGCTTCTTTGTTTTATTTATGCCCGCTGGTGCCTGTTTGCAGAAATACGAGAGAATCCAGGGTGGTCAGGTGTGTGCTGGGCCGGCAGAAAAGTAAAAGAACTGGGTTCTTCTCGTGAGTGTTTTTCCAACAGAGAAATCCTAACTGTCTGAGCGGTAATATTTTTGTTGGTTTTTTAAAATAATTCCTTCCTCATTTTTGCATTGGCTTCCAAATACTTTACCAGAAAGCCCTAAGTCATTAGTGTTGTACCTCAAAATAGAAAGAAACGAGGCTTTTGACCGATGAGAGTTCCAGCTTTGCTGTTATTGCACAAGAGGGAAAATGTGATAAGTGGAGTGCATGGGCCAGACGGTATTTCAGAAACAAGGTTTGTGATTAGAGAGCGAAAAGATTTTGTTCTAGATAAACCTGTTCTCCTGAGTTATCATCCTCTAATAAGGTCTTATGAAATTCTTGTTTTCCGGGTTCTGATACGCTGTTTTCTGTTTCAGAACACAATTGAGGTCATTTACTCAGTACCACTTAGCCAGACTTTTTCAGTTAGAATACTGGTGCTTTGGAATACACATGTCTAGTACTGCCAGACAGAGCAGCTGTTTAGTTTGGGAAACTGGCTCAAAACCAACAGCAGTACTGTGAGTCCTTCAAGCCTCTCGGAACACTTGTCTGTAATTCAATAGAAAGTCTTTGAAAAAAACTGCACTTTATCTTTGACCCTGAAGGAAAACATCCACCCTGCCTATTTTAATTTTTTTTTTTTACTCTCTCCCTAAATATTGCTCTCTGTGGTAACTGGGCTTAAAATCGCTTCCTGATGATTCAATTAACCGGCCAAAGCATGATGGATTAATTAAAATATGCCCGAGTGTTAATTACAAAAGCACACAGGCATAATAATAGGTAAGGAAATTACAATTGGCAAGATGCATTTAAAATTGTCACTGTGAACTTGTACAGCTCTACCATGTTGACTGCTGTCATCCTGCCTGAGGTTGTCACAAGACTGCATCTATCAGTTTCCTTTTACAGGATGGATTTCAGTATCTGTGTCAAGTCCCTCAAAATTGCTTGATGCACAAAGAGTCATTTTGCTGAACGTTTAAAAGATAAAAGAATTATTATTAGCTATAAATTATTCTACACCAAAGTCTGAGACTTTATGGTTTAACCAGTGTGACAGCACTAGAGTAGGTAGTCCGGGTTAGAGATTTAGAGTGGTGTTATATATAGATCTTGTTAAAGTTCTGTCTTATTAGACTGCTGCTTTTGTTAACCCCTGTAATTTTTGGTATGTGCCATTTTGACCTCCGGGGAACACAGTTTTAATTTTTTCCTCATCATTCTGATTTAAAACCCATTTTTCAGACTAATATGCAATGAAAAAACTTAGCACTTTAATTTTGACTAACAGAATGCAGTGAAATTTCTTACGTATAGAAATGTACTTCAGTCATGTGACGTAATTTTAATCAAAAGTAAGAAGTGTGTGTTTTATTTCCTCATGGGCTGTTTTTTCTTTCAAATTAAAAAAACCTCTTAAAGACATAATGTGTTAAGTAGCACTGTAAAAAAATATATTCTAATTTATCATAAAATTCTGTTATATAAATAACCTCAAGATGTAACAGAGCATGTACAGTAGAATTAGATAGTAATTGATTTAAAACCTGGTTTTAATTAGTGAAAAACATCTGATCCTCAAAATTATGCCTATGTAATTGATCAATTCCATAACTGTGCTTTACATTACTCATTTCTGTGCACATACGGTATATGAAATACAGAAGAATGCTACATGCTCATCTGCACAGGTTTTCCAGTACCATGAACAGTGAAGCATGAAGCAGAGCACACAGGGAAACAGAAGAGCACATACAAATGAGACCTGGAGTGAAGCTGATGTAACATTTCCTTCAAGAAATGTCGGGATTAAATCTTCGGAT